CAAACCTCTCGGAGCATTTGTAACCTGTTACGTCGCATTATTTCCCGACTGGTTGCGAGCACTCACAGTTGCACGTTGTTAATGGATTTACGCCATATTCACCTATTCTATTGTTGTACAGAGTGGATCGGTAATGCCGCAACTGTAATTGCTGCGAGATAGTCTTAGTAGTCTTACCTGGAATCATTAATTGTATAATGAGAGCCTTCAGCAACCTAAAAACATCTAAGGCTACAGAGATATGTTAAATCTCAATACCAAATAGATGCTCTTGTACTATCACATTTTAGTTCCCGTGATACTGTTTACAGCAAATGTATAGATAACAACGATGTAAAAAGAACACAAGGTTTAAAATTCGTGAGCTCCTGATCAACAAAGTCTATCATAGAAATATTTTTAGGGAGCATGAAAATTTTAAGATCAGGCAGGTTTCATATTTTACTAATAAAAAATAATGCTTGGAGTGTTTGTGCCGTTAGAAGTAGAGTACTAAATCTATTTAATTGAATCCATTATTTGGATTTTATGTTCTTTGAAAATCTTTGCAATCCTATAACTAATTTTGTTGAAATTTTGACAAGTATATCGAGAACAAAAAGTATGACTGTGTTTAAGAATCGGTCCATCTAGGAACGAGTAATCATGACAAAAAAATCATCGTGAGAATTGATACTGATTACGAGAAATTTTGACATAAACAACATGACATAGACGAAAAAGCATTGTATCTTTTGAAATTATTTAATATTGTAAAGGGTGGAAGATGCCTCGGAAATTCACGCGAGATTGATGAATCCCGTCTATCAATCCCACGGAATAGAGTGAGCGAGATTTCAATTCCTATCGCATTGTTTTTGCTAGCACCTCCGTAATGAGAAAAACGATCCAGAGAAACAATTTTTTTACAATATTTTACATGTCATCGATCAGTGATGGACATTTTCGCGTATACTTTGTCTACGTTTCGATCCGTAGGCAGTGTAAACAATAGGTATACAATGTATAATATGTATACTAAGTGACATATAAATCCGAACACCCAGTTTAAATGGTTTTATTTTAATAAAAGTTGGTGAATGTATTTATCTTACTGTAAATAACAAGTGAAAAAATTTTCAGCCTCATCAGTTGGACATTCCGGTTTTTATACTGCTTTTTTTTAATTCACTAACGCTCTAAAAATGAATATTTCAGCCGCAGTAAAGAATCAACGTTGGCAGATTTTGGTTCTTGACATCCTTTACGATCGGTTACGATGCCTAGAGTACGGAAACCTGTACGATTTCGTCAACTTAGTGAGTTTGATAGGGGCCGTATAGTGGGACTTCGGGAAGCTGGACCTTCTTTTCGGGCAGTTGCAGTTAGAGTGCAAAGAAGTGACACTGTGGTTAGGTGTTGTCAGGCATGGCTTCGAGAAGGCCGTACGCAAAGAGCAAGGGGCACTGGACGCCGCCGTAGAACAACAGACCGTGAAGATCGCCGCCTAAGATTATTGGCCTTAAGGGACCGTTTCTCCACTACCAGGTCCATTGCAAATGAATGGTTTGCAGAACACAGAAGACCTATTGGCATGCGAAGTGTTTACCGACGAATGAGAAGTTTTGGCTTGTTTTCATACCGGCCACACTGGGTCCTCCCTTTAACTCGAGAACACCGACGTAATCGCCTTGAGTGGTGCAGACAACGGTCACTCTGGGATCAGGAATGGAACAGTATTGTCTTTAGTGACGAGTCTCGATTTTGTTTAGACATGCACGATGGTCGTGCCAGGGTTAGAAGGCGACGTGGTGAAAGGAGGAATCCACAGTTTTTTGTTGAAAGACATGTTCATCACACTGTTGGAGTTATGGTTTGGGGTGCTATAGCTTATGGTTCCAGATCACCTTTAATCTTCATCAGAGGTAACATGAATGCGCAGCGTTATATCCACGAAGTTCTAGAACCCCATCTTTTACCCTATCTTGACACCCTGGCAGATCCAGCTTTCCAACAAGATAATGCCCGACCACATGTTGCAAGAGTCACAATAGACTTCTTTCAACATAATGATGTCACATTGTTACCATGGCCACCAAGATCTCCCGACTTATCCCCAATTGAGCACGTGTGGGATATGATGGGTAGGAGATTGCTCAATTTGCAACGTCCTGCTCAGACTCTAGAAGCACTTCGAGAGGAGTTGGTGGTTGCCTGGAATGAGATACCACAGGAGGACATTGACCACCTGATCAGAAGCATGCCTAGGCGCGTTGGAGAATGCGTAGCACATCAGGGTGCATCCACACATTATTAAAGGTCAAAGGGCTTTAAAGCAGTGCAATCATTTTGAAATTTGTATCATTTCCTTATTATGCTTCATTAAGTACTTTTATTAAAATAAAACCATTTAAACTGGGTGTTCGGATTTATATGTCACTTAGTATAAATATATGTCGTGGCCATATCGTAGAATTGGTCATTTCATGCATTGATTGAGTAAGGCAACTTCAACGCCAACGTTTAAGGATTTGATCAGCCACGATTGACACCAAATAGGGTATCCATAGCATATTTTATGGAAATGCAGAATATGTTACAAACTCGTTTATTTTTCTTCAGGTTAGACAACCATTTTGATTAAAACTAGTAACTGTAGGAAATAAAAATAATATAATTATATTGAAACATTCTTAAATTGGACACAGTCAATTGCATAGACATCATAAATTAAGTTAACATATTACATCGCGTGGTTGCCCTAGTCTGCTTTATTTGACGTATAACCTAAAAATTAAATAAAAATTACGATGAGTTTTACATACTAGTTCGACAAACAAACACAACATTTTAACTGGCAGACGATTTTGGATTCAAATAAATGAATGATAATGTAATTTAAGAGTGAAGTACTAACCTTTAAAATACAGCTTTTTGTTGTTTTGGCCGGTACTTGCATGACCCGCACAGGACTCGAGAACCCGAGTAATTTTATGTCGTAAAGTCTTTTATTCTAACTTTCTTCCTCATTTTGTGCAAATTCGACCTCGAAAAACATGTTGAAATGTAAAGAAAGCACTGCCCGCGCTTCTATCTGTGAATAATATAAATATTCTATGAGATGATATAAGATGCTTGACCATTTCATGAAGTTGCCAAGTGTTCAGTTGATCATATCGTTAAACGATTTGTTATCATTGATATGGTCAGCGCGCATCTTGACTTGGCCGATAGAGAATGATATAATGCTCGATCGTTTCATGAAAAAAAAAACGACATGTCACTTTTCAATATAGGTAATACCTGTGCCGGTAACTATAAAAACAATAAGGTTAGAGCGCTAAATGTAAAATTGATGAACTACGGTTCATTTTGTTCAAAGATATTCCGTCGAGTAGTGTGTCCGTAAAAGGTTATAATATATCGCCTGAAATCGCACGGGTGCTTTAACTTTTGTCATATCGCCATATTCGCCTATAGAAGCGCTATTTTAACAAATTAAAATGTAATAAAACATTTTGTATTTCAAGAAATGCGGTGGAAATAGATCACAATAAATTGGCCATATTTGCCCTGAAGTTGCTGCTAATTCCGGCTTCATCAGCACAGTTAAGAGCTGATCGAAATCAACTGATATTTGATATATCTGAAAAGCTGATGCATGTGTTTTACTCCGTATGATTGACCGATAACGGCCTTGCTAATGTAAATGTTGACAAATGTACGGGCAAACCTATGGTGTGTGAAATATGATGTAGACTCGCCATCCAAAAATTGAGATATACCCTCCTCCCCACCAAACCCCCAACCTCTAATTTTTTACCCAAAAGAGTTTTCGAAAATAATCAGCATACGCCGAAACAAGGGATCAATTTTCAAAAAATACAAAACATTTTCCGTCTTTGACGTACTACGTACCTTGCGTAATCGTCCAAATCCGAACAGTACTTTCCAAATTATAGAGGGGCCTAGCATTATCGGATAGACAGACAGACCAACAGACCGATAGACTAGCGGACCGACAGACCATCAGATCGACAAAAATGAGTGATGCTTTTTCTTAATGTACGTATTATTTAACATCTAAGCAATATCTAAAAATCTAATGTCACTTTTAAGAAATTTTTTGCGAATACAATACAGTACCCACCGGCGAATAGTGCGTGCAAAAACCACGTACGGTGTTTTTGCAACAAACGAGTATTGCGTGATGTTATTTGAAGTTGAGGAATGAATCTACCTTTAACCCCTTAAGTGGTGTATACAGGGTGTCCCGAAAAAAGTGTGCAATATTCTACCAGCGGTTTCTAGAGCTTAAAATAGGAAGAAAAGGTTTTATAAACATAGGTCGACAAACGTCCCCTAAGGGCGCTACGGTATTTTAAAGGGGCTCCCCTGAAGATGGTTTTTCCTTAATATTTCCTAAACGTGTTGAGATAAAGACATGAAATTTGGTATTCTAGCCTAGTTGTTGTTATGCTGGATTTAAAAATATTAACAATTTTAGACAGCTTTGTTTGGAAGCGTTTGTAACAGGGACGGAGGTTATTTTAGCCCCAACATTTTTGTGCGATTCTATTTTTGAAATTCAATTTTAGAATTTGAAAATCTAGGATTTTCTACTCTTATTTAATATCGATAAATTGTGCCATTTTTGACTAAAATCAAACTAAAAAAATTGTCACATGATAGGAAATGTACTGCGATTTTAAATGAATTGTTGATTATACATAGTTAGCCATGACTGCAAACAAAAGTTGTTTTGATTTGTTATGACTTATTTCGACGTTAAGACCACATTGTTAGCAGTGTAAAATTACTATATTAAAATCAAAATTTTTATTAAATCGATTTAAAATGCCAAGAATGAGAAAGCGAGGATGAACCCAATCTTGATCCAAGTTTTGAAATGCACTGGACAGAGAACGGGATTCCTAGGCCAGCGTTCCATTTTTCGTCAAACAGTGGTGTGCAAGTAAACAATTTAAAGGATATATTGCAAATTTTTTAATATTTTTTAGATGATGACCTAATAGATATAATAGTCAGAGAAACAAACAGATATGCATCGCAGTATATTTCTTCGAATCAAGATAAGCTCAAGTCAAAAATGGTTTGATACAGATAGTAATTAAACTAGGAGCCTTATCTGGTTGCTAATATTACAGAGCATCTGTCCTAAGCCTGAGTACAAAATGTACTTTTCACGACGAGAGAGCATCGAGACTTCTTTTTTCTCAATAGTTATTTGTGAGAGACGATTTCATTTGTTGTTAAAGTTTTTACACTTTGATAATTCTACTATAAATCCACATACAAAAAACTGATCAAAGTTTTAGCAGTTTTGGATTTGTTGAAAAAAAAAGTAATGTCAACTTATGGACCAGAACAAAACATAGCCATAGATGAGTCCTTGACAGGATGGGAAGGCAGACTTGCTTGGAAACAGTACATACCCTCAAAAAGGAAAAGATTTGGAATGGACGTTTTTGCCTTATGTGAAAGCCGCAGTGGTTACATGTACAACTTTTTAGTTTATACTGGCGCAGATACTGAATACAATGCTTTGTATGTAAATAAACCACTTACTGCGAGGGTAGTGTTGACTGATTCATCCTCTTTTAGATAAGGGATGCCGCTTGTTTTTAGATAAATATTATACAAGCATAGACCTGTGCGACAAACTAGTAAAAAGGAGGACGGATAGCGTTGGGATAATGAGAATAAATAGAAAAGGAATACCACGGGAATTAAAAGTAAAATTACAGAGAGGATTAACTGTAGCACGTTTTAGAAAGAAACTCATGATTCAGAAATGGCGCAACAAGAAAGACGTCCTTATGATAAGCACAGTCCACGATGACAGCATACAAAAGATTGCAGCAAGGAGTGGGGATATTGAGAAGCCATCTTGCTTAATCGATTACAATGCCAGCATGAGTGGTGTTGATTTATCTGACAATTACCTCCACTTTTATGGAATTGCTCGTACTAGAGTTAAAAAATGCTACATCAAGATGTTTCTCCATTTTTTAAGTGTCACTACGTTGAATGGCTTTCAAATTTATAAGAAGAATGGGGGAAAACTAAAAAGACTGAACTTTTTACTGGAGCTGGGTGAGAAGATAGTGGAAAAATACAGCAAACGATACAAATAAAAAAAAAGAAGGTTTAGAACTCCAATGCCCACAAGGCTGACTGAAAGGCATTTTCCATCGATAATACCAGCAACAACAAAAGCAAAACCGACAAAAAGGAAGTCAAAAACTTATCACTCTACGTTTGTCTTATTGCGTTTATTTCAGAATCGTTGTATGTGCTGCAAGAAAGAAGCGAAAAGAGAGTCGTTATTGGTGCCTAGAGTCTCGTACTGGTCTCTGTCCTGCACCTTGTTTTGGGATATACCATACGAAATAATAATGTTTTCTACTATTTATCAGCTATATTTTGTTTTTAAATAAATAAGTTTTCAGTAATTTTATGTGCATTACTTGTTTTAAAACAGTACTAACCGTGGTGGCTTTCCCATATATGTACGCACTTCATTTAAAGTAACCCTGCGCCTGCGCTTCTATTATCAATGGCAAAGAAGAATATCTACGCAAGCAGTAAAATGACGTGCCATCTGAAAAGTCATCGCTGAAAGCAGCTACAGCCACTTAAGGGGTTAAAGAAGTTGTAGATGATGTTAGAAAAATGAGCTTAGTGCTGTTTGCACTGATTGGTTCAATTGAATCCCAGTGCCGGCGAATGTTGTGTTAGGCTTCTAAAAGTCTCATCTGCACGTTCTGTATGGTATCAACAAGAGGCGTTTGGTATATGATAATGAGCTTCTGATTATATTTATGCGTTTGCGATGGGCGCTTGGATATTACAATTGATAATTGATTATACGACCGTGTAAATGGGCATAGTATGTATGAATCTACAGAATACAGTCATTAGCCGCTTCGTCCATTAGCGTTTGTACACTGACTATAAGTCATGTTTTGGTAAAATCTGCATCCAAAAAAGTGATGGTCTACAAATTACGAAAAGCAGCATCACCCACGGAATACCTTCAATGTTCGGATCTATTAAGCACTGCTGCGAACCTAACTACATTCTTTGACATAAAAGGAAGTGAGTACTAGAAGCCGAGCTTACAGGAATGTCCGTAAATAAAAATTTAGTTCCCCAACAAACACATTAAAAAAATTACGTAGAGCGGTTGATTCTACGTTTGACATGCAACGCTGTCATCGGTTAATGAAGTATTATGTTCGGCACAAGAAAAAGTAAGCTATGAACGCTATAACGTAAAAATTAAATGGGTCAAATCAGTCAATAGGTTCATAAAATTAGTCCATAGTGCCCACCCATTTGACTACTTCAATCTAGAAATATCTCATTTTCTCTACCGACAGTACTAACCAACTGGCAACGTAGTTGTGACTAGCCTCCCTACCTCGCCAGCCACGTAACAATCAGATATCAGTCAGACCCCTCACAGGTATATTCACATTCGATGCGTTGCATGAGACGCGAGTGTTGAAAATATTCGTGATGAATGATTTAACTTTTACATACCATATATATATATATACGTATATATATCTTCCGCCTTTTGTTGGGTACTTCGACAAAATTCAAACAAAGAGGATTCTTTATACTTCATTAATCTCTAGCTTTCAATGGACTTTGCCATCTTCATCAGGAGAGTCGTATGTGAGATTGTTGCTAAATGTTATTAACGTTTAGGTTGAGGGAAACAACCAGTAACCAGCGAACAAAATAAAACGGATTAAAAATATTTAAAACAAAAGTTAAAATTACATCGTGAACCACCTGATGCTGCACAAGATGGTGGGCACAGGATCCTACTTGTGATCCTGTGCTCATTGAAAGCTAGACATTAATTATAAAGAGTCCTCTTGCTTGAATTTTGTCGAAGTATCCAACAAAAGGCGGAAGGTTTATTTTTCACCTAACTGGTCTAAACGATAATGACCACCTCTCAAGATATATATACAGGGTGTTTCAGTTTATTGTTGCATAACTTTAAGATTCGATAGAACTTTTAAAATTAAGCATAAAGTCTATATAAACATGGGTCAAAAAATGCGTGGCTTCCGAAATACAGGGTGTTTAAATTTACTTCCTAAAATAGTTTTTTTTTAAATATTTCGAACAATATTTGATGTATAATAGTGAAAATTGGTACACAAGGGTTTTTTCGTACGACAAAACGAACCATGGGCATAGTTTTACTGTAGCCGCTAGAGGACGCTCTCTACTGTACCTGTAGTGTATTACAATGACCGAAAATTTTTTCTTAGTGCAATTTTTTGCTTTTTGAATAAAAAACTGATTCTTCGCACTTTTTAACATAAAAAAGCTTTCCTGTGAATTTTCGCTATAGTGAGCCGTTTTTGAGATATTTCGATTGTTAAGGTTCGATGCATTTTTAATTATTTATGATAGAATAACGTTAAAATGTCAGTATCTCGATAATTTTTAGAAGTAGGCTGTGCCTGTAAATATTTTTGAAATTGAAGGCAGAATAAGGTTAAACGTCAATCAGTTGACAGTTAGTTTTGTTGTCTGTTGAAACCTGAATGCACGAAATTTAGTTTCTTGTACATGTTTTTTTTAGTTTTATAAAAATGCCATTTTTATTCTCCAATCAAGAGTTAGCGGATATTCATTTTGTGTATGGCTTTGTAAATGGAAACGCAGCAGAAGCAGCCAGAGAATACGCACGAAGATTTCCAAACAGACGTCATCCAACTCGCTCAGTATTTGTAAGAGTGCATCGCCAAATAATTGAAAATGGTTTTGGAAATCTCCAAAGGGATCAAAACATAAATGTTCGTCAGCGCAGATTTACCCGTATGATTCTGCGTGAGTTTGATAGAGATCCGACCACAAGTGTTAGGAGAGTTTCTGGTGCCTTGGGAATTTCAGCAAGCCATGTTCACCGTGTTCTTAGAAATGACCATAGACGTCCTTACCATTTGCAACTTGTGCAAGGACTACAGCAAGGGGACGGAGAACGAAGAATCACATTTTGTCAGTGGATTCTTGATATAACTGATAATAATAGAGAGTTTTTAAGTAACGTTTTATGGACCGATGAGTCATGCTTCACTAGACTTGGAGTGGTAAATTTTCATAATCAACATATTTGGTCGCATGAAAATCCGCATGCAGTTCGGGAAAGACATTTTCAGCATGAATTTAGTGTGAACGTGTGGATTGGTATCTACCGTAATCGACTATTTGGACCCTACCTGTTGCCTGCAAGGTTTAATGCTGCGACCTTCTTGGAATTTTTAAAGGCTGAACATGCAAATATGTGGGATAATGTTATGTTAGATTTAAGAAGATTGGCCTGGTTCCAGCTCATTATTCGAGAATAGTTAGAAACTGGCTGGACGAAAATTATCCAGAAAGATGGATCGGCCATGGAGGACCAGTCGCCTGGCCTCCACGATCCCCTAACCTAAATCCATTAGATTTCTTTGTGTGGGGATTTCTATAAGAATAAGTGTACCAGACTCCCGTAACCACAAGAGATATGCTAATAGACAGAATCAGGAATGCATGTGATGAAATAAGGCCTTATTTGAATAATGCTATACCACGTTCGATCATTCGTAGATGTGAATTGTGTATTGAACAATTGGGTTTACATTTCGAGCAATTACTTTAGATTTTGTATGTTTGTCCTAACTATCCAATAGCATTTTAGTTGTAAATAATTAATTTGATTTGTTAAAAATAATATTGGAAAATTAAACAAATTAATATTCTGTTTTTTGTGTTTATTTGGAGTTAGGAATTATTGCTGTGTTCAAAAACACAATCTAAACGATCATCTTAATTACTCGTAAAAAAAAACGAAAATGTAAAAAAAAATATTTTCCCATAAATAATTAAAAATGCATCGAACCTTAAAAATCGAAATATCTCAAAAACGGCTAACTATAACGAAAACTCACAGGAGAGCTTTTTTATGTTAAAAAGTGCGAAGTATCAGTTTTTTTATTCAAAAAGCAAAAAATTGCACTAAGAAAAAATTTTCGGTCATTTTAATACACTACAGGTACAGTAAAGAGCGCGCTCTAGCGGCTACAGTAAAACTATGCCGATGGTTCGTTTTGTCGTACCAAAACACCCTTGTATACCAATTTCCACTGTTATACATCAAATATTGTTCTAAATATTTAAAAAAAACTATTTTAGAAAGTAAATTTAAACACCCTGTATTTCGGAAGCCACGCATTTTTCGACCCATGTTTATATAGACTTTATGCATTAATTTTAAAAGTTCTATCGAATCTTAAAGTTATGCAACAATAAACTGAAACACCCTGTATATATACATATACAGGGTGACTTCGAAGTTGAGTCATTTATTTTAACAGTAAGTAGATCTGATCAAAAGAAATGTTTTTTTCCTTTACCATTTTTCCGGTAAAATTAAAGTAACAAAGTTATAGCCCTTTGGAAGTTTGAGTACCGCCCTGTCTCAATAATAATATTATGTGCTCGTGTTTGGCAACAACGGATATAATCCGCCTTATCGGTTCATCACATCGGAAACAAAAAAGCGAAAGAATTTGGAACGATGTTTTTACGATTATTCTATTCAGTTGTATACAGTCAGTGTCAGTCGGTAACGCGTGAGTGAATAGTGGTGTCTGTTGCGTGGCTCAAACGAAATCAAAAATGGCACATGTTTATGCGGATCGGTTTCCCAATCGAGTGCAACCAACCCCTCGTGCCTTTGTTAATGTAGTACAAAGGGCTCGTGAATCAGGTGACATGCCGGTGCTCCAAGACCGCACGATCAAATACAGGTCCGCACTGAAATACTTATCGGGAGGATACTTTATAAAACAAGGTAATTTTTTTTTATTTTTTTTTATTTTTACACACATATTTTGGTTTATCTTCCTTCTACAATCATTATCTGAAAACGCTAAAACGCTATATATATATATATATATATATATATATATATATATATATAGCGGTTGTTTCACAGCTACGTTAGCCGTTTACCGCATTTTGTTTTCTAAGCATCTCTATGTTCCCATAGTTCATTTTCTAGGTGCCTTTTTCTCACTGCTTCAGCTATCTCTTGATCCTAAGTTCTTTTCGGTATTCCGCTTTTCCTTCTCAACCGTGGTTCCATTTACACTTTTTCTGGGAGACTTTCTTCAAATAAACTTCTCATATGGACATACCACATCAATTGTTTTGTTTTCATATGGTCTGTGAGCTTTACTTGTGCATCCATCCTTTGTCTGACATCTTCATTTCTTTCTCGGTCTAGACTGGCCCTATTTACATCGGCAAAGCATCATTTCAGTAGCATTGACTTCTTAATATTTTGCTCAAGGTCCAAGCTTCCGATCCATATGTGACTGTGCTTTCTATAAAACTTGAACACGTTAGTTCTTTTTGTTTCCTTTGTAATTGTGTCATTCCATAGTACTGGGTGCCATTGTTTGATGGCGACTTTTCCTTTATTATCCTTCTGTCTGTCAATTTCTTAGATCCATTTGTCAAATTCTTCGACCAGTTTTTGGAACATATAGTTCACATCATCTTCGTCCTCAGCTACGATTACTTGATCGTCAGGCGTCATAGAATGAATTATCAAAATCTACAAAGCTCTTTCGCTCCTGATATTGTCGTAAACTTGTTTCAAAATTCCTTCAATATCCCAGCGGTACTTTCCAAGTTATTGCGGAGCCAATGATTAGTGGACAAAGAGATAGACCGATAGGGAGACACCGACATGTTTTTTTATGTCATATAATATCCAAAAACAAGGTAATGAAGTTTTACAAAATTCAATTTTTTTCATTTGAACCTGAAATGTTCAAAAACGCACCCACAAAAATATTTTTATGACTACGGCCCAAAGTGTCCAGAAATTACGAAAAGAAAAAAGGGTTCTAGAATTGTGTAAAAAATTTGCTTCTCACAACAATGATTGATATTAACCAAAAATAACCTACTGTGACTACCAAAAGTTTGCCCTTCACGACAGTGTTTACCTATAAATAAGCTACTAAGGTCATACAGATCTTTTAACATCGAAGGGTCCCGAGACTGTCTGCTGGAGAAGAGTGATCAAGCACTCTGACAGCCTTCCTCTGGACAGCATCGTGCATAAATAATGTAGTAAGGGCGGTCTTACCTGGGCCTTATATAGAGTGAGAAGGTCATGCGGAGAAAAGTACTTATTAGCTCTAAACAAAAGATGAAACAATATTGAATATATAGGACGCAGGAAACGTCAATTTGACATAGACGCCATCTTTGTTTTCTGTCACCGACATGTCATTTTGTTAGTTGAATGTTTACCAGTGATCGCTATGGAGTCGTATTCGATTGAAGACCGTATTAAAGTTATTCAAGAGCACTACAAAAATGGTGCAAAAATAAAAAACACGTTTCGCGCGCTTCGTGAACATTTCGGTCGCAACAACCGCCCAAACGAAACAACCATCGGTCGTCTGGTGCGTAGATTCGAGGCAACAGGTTCTGTGGCAAATCTGCCAGGCTCTGGCCGGCCAAGGAGCGTTCGCACATCGAAAAATATTGCTGTTGTGAAGGAGAGTGTGAGAGACGATCCGAAACAATCAACAACGCGTCGATCCCAAGAATTGGGCATTTCTAGAACCAGTTTGCTCCGCATTCTCCACAAGGATTTGAATGTACACGCCTACAAGATCCAACTGACGCAAGAGCTGCGTCGGGCCGAACATTTTTCGCACCGAACGTTCTCAGATTGGCTCCTTGAACACCGCCAAATTGATGCCAATTTTTCATCAAAAATCATGTTCAGCGACGAAGCGCATTTCACTTTGAATGGGACGGTAAACAAGCAAAACTGCCGCATCTGGGCGAACGAAAATCCCCGTGAGTATCAAGAGCAGCCGATGCATCCTCAAAAAGGGACTGTGTGGTGTGCATTGTGGTCAAAAGGCATCATCGGACCTTACTTTTTCGAAAATGCGGCCGGGGACGCCGTTACCGTCAATTCTGAGCGATATCACGTGATGATAGAGGACTATTTTTTGCCGCAACGTGAAGGAATGGTTATGGACGATGTTTATTTCCAACAAGACGGTGCAACATGCCAAACAACCAACGTCAATATCGATCGATTGCAGTCCTTCTTCGGTGATCGCGTGATTTCGCGCAGAGGAAATGTGCCATGGCCACCAAGATCGTGCGATTTGACTCGCTTGGACTTCTTTTTATGGGGATATTTGAAAAGCAAAGTCTACGTCAACAAACCAGCCACCCTCCAAGAACTCAAAAACAACATCATTGCCGAGATAAATGCCATAGAACCGACTATGTTGCAAAATGTCATTGAAAATTTCGACCATCGCGTGGACGTCTGTAAATCCAGTCGTGGTGAACATTTGAGCGATATTATTTTTCATACATAAATGGTATAGATGAACCTTCAAAATAAAGTATCCAACTTGATTTGAATATCAATCTTTCTTGTTTTAATATGCGTTTACTTTCCTGCGTCCGTTTTGGACAACCCCATATGATCGTTAAATGTAAATATATTAACAAAAATTCTTTGCCCTGACATCAAATTTCTTTGCCACCAGTGACATATTGAGTCCAACGTCCTTTGCGTCTCCACACGGACTCTCAATGAGTGAATTGCATAAAACACTCAAATTGTCAGCAAAAAACAAATGCATACAGGAAAGTACCAAAGTCAGATCGTGATTGTAACATGCTGTTGGGCTGTTCTCCTGTAGCGTGATTTATCGTCGCATTTCGAATACAGGCCTAAGCAACTTTATTGAGGTGTTTTGGATTCAAAAGCTTTCACAGTCCCCTTGCTTGTTTTCTTCGATTTTATTATAAAAATGCAAAATAAATCACTTCAGCTCCGCTGCACAGCAGTTCCTGTTGATTTTGTAATCTCTGCGGCTTTAACTGATTAAATGAGTTCCGCGCCTATTCTTTGTTGTGCTGTCTCAGGAGATAAAAAGCTTTAAAAGCTGTTGGTAACAGATAATTGATAAACAGCTCAAGCAAAATGGAAACAGGTCGAATGATTCGGACCTCGCATCACCTAAATATGAATATCCTCTGCATCTGACTAATACAGGGTGTTTTCAAAGGTGAGTCATTTATTTTAATTGCTTGTAGGACTCGTCAAAGGCAGTTGATCTACCAAAAACCATCTATATGAGAGTTGCAAATTTAAAAACTTTTTTTTAAGAAATCCTAATACAACCATCGAAAAATTCCAAGGCGTAGTGACGCCAAGGTCGAAAACAAGCCGCTTGACAGTACCACCATCTTATCTCAACGCCAAAAGGGCGTCAGATTCAGATTTTCTATATCTATATAGGGGTCGCCAAAAAATTCTGTCACGGTATCGAAATTTGGATAGACACTAGCTATGATAGAGTTCCCAATGCTAAACTGACATCAGTTTCCGATAGTACACATTTTTTTTATACAGTTTGGAGTTTTTATCTATACCCTATCTAGCCCTACTGAGCGGGGAACTAGCCCTACTGAGCGAGGGCCGTGGCAAATGCTTGTTCCGGACGTTGTTGTATCCAGTATATAACTCCTTCCCGTCCAAGTGATTGTGCACGCGTTAAGGAATACCTCAGTACCGATTGCCGGGTGGCGGTACAAGTCCGCCAACGGGCCACTTTAGGTCCATTTAACATCACTTAGGGCCGGTTTATCAAAGCACAGTTAAAAGTGCCTGTTAAGTAACCTCAAGTTAGGCTAAACTGGCAGTTATGTTATGAAGCGTGTTTATCAATCAATCAATAGCTGTCAGTTTTATAACTTTTGGTTTGCCTTCGTTTCTACAAGGTTGGTAGAACTGAACTGAGCGGAAATGAATTTTTATTCGTTGAATTTAAATTTCCCACAAAAAATGTCAGACAATGACAAATGACGCAAATGTCAAAAATTTAACCTATTCGATATATTTGTGTGAAAGTGTATCACTATCACGCAATGACGTCTTTGCTATCACGTATCTTGAAGTTTTCTTTATTCGTGTGGCATTGTTTTACGAAATTAGTACGGATTGTTTGGAAAAATGGAAAGCGAAGAAAACAGTGGAAAGGGAAAACAAAAAAGAGGAGCGAACTTCAGCCTCAGCGACCGCAAAAACTTGTTGAAACTGTCCAACAAATTTAAGGCAGTGATAGAAAATAAAAAAACGGATGGAGTTACTTGGAGACAGAAGGAAGAAGCGTGGATAAAAATTGAAAGAGAATTCAACTCATTTACAACTGGAGTGGTGAGTATATACATATACTTTTCAATTGCTATAGTATGTGATAAATTAATTGATTTCCAATATACAGTTTTGGCAACATTTCCCAACTCTGTTAAATAAGATATAAACTGTAGTGAAAAGAGTATGAATGCAATATTAGTTTTTGTTCCGTAATTGTTCATATATGAATAAATTTTTAGCCACGAACAGCAAAACAGCTAAAAACAAAGTATGAGGCCATTAAGAAGGAGCTGAAAAAAAAATATAGCAGCCATAAGTGCTATATGCTTGGAACAGGTGGTGGTGCTTCAAAAGAAGAACCCAAACCTGAGACTGAAGAAGAGAAGGAACTATTACAAACTATCATAGTTTCTGTTGAGGGTCTTCAGTCTCAATATGATTCAGATGCCATAGCAGGAAAGTTCTGTTTTTTTATTTTTACCTTTGGATCATGCTTAATTTGATTTTGATTACAGGTGTAAGAGGAGTTGAAATTGAGGAGATTGAAAACAGCAGTGTGATAGTAGAAACGCATGAAGATATTGAGTGGAACACACCCAGTACTTCCTACCTTCAAACACACATTCATCCAGCTTTGAAAGTATCAAGGCCGAATGTGCTACAGGTGGACGTAAGTGGAGAAGATATGGAAGTAACCGACCATAATACTGACAGTATCAGTGTAGCAGAGACTCCCAGCTCTAAAAGTATCTGTGAAATATTTCTTATAAATATAGGTATATAGATATCTCATATTTATGTTACTATACAAAAATTTTATTTTAGAGCCATGGTCATGTCGGCGAAGACCAGTAATTAAGAAAAAGAAAAGCATGTCTTCTGCTTCTTCGAAATTTGAAGAACTGGCTATGAAGAAGTTAGAGCTGGTGAATTTGCAAATGTCGATTGCAGAAGAAATAAAAAAGCAAAATGCTGCAGAGCATAAAATAAAAATGGAAAACCTGAAACTGAAGCAAGACATTTTGAAAATGGAACTGCAGATTAGAACAAATGATAAATTATAAAATATGTGTAATATATATAAATATAACACATAATTTTGAAATTAAAGATTGCTATTTTTTATTTGTATTTAATTCATAAATAGTACAAGTAAAGAATTAATTTAAAAGCCCTGGAAAATATTCACTTAATAACAGTTCCCTGGCATTCATGAAGTTATTTTCAGGAGGATCAACACTGATATCTTCTTCATAATTGATTATGTTTTCATCCAAGTTTGGAATATCAGGGGGCTGCTCTTCATTTTGGTCAATTGCTATATTATGCAGCACAGCTGTGGCAACGATCACTGTAAGGGTTGTCTGTAATTTTAGTCTCAACCCTGTTGAGAGAACTGGAAATCGTCGTTTCCACAAACCGTATTGCCTTTCCACAGGATTTCTGGTTCTTGTAACTGAAAAAATAAATGAAAAACAAACTCATTAACTTTAATTCTCCTTGTATAGAAAAAATAATGCAGTGTAGTATCTGTACAATGAAAAAATATGGTTCATGCTTTTAGTGAATTAAATTATTTTATGAGTAAAATAAAAAACAGCTCCATATAATGTAATGATTATAAGAGATAGAAACATACCAGCTTCATTATAAAGTTGTTGGACTTGTGTTCTTGCTTCCAAAAGTGGTGTTATTACATGCATTGAATTTGCATAACCACTGTCTGCTACTAAAAGGCTATTGCCAAATTCATTTCTTTCCAATCTACTTTTTATTGATGAATTATCAAAAATTATCTGGTCATGTTGACTTCCAGGCCAGCGTGCAGTAATGTCTAATATTTTTAGATTGGGGGCTGAAATGGTTTGTACATTGATGGAGAAATAGCCTTTTCGATTGCGAAATAGTTCTGCATTATTTCCTCCTGTAAGGGTAAAGTTTTATAAGTACAAGTTCTATAGATACAAATAGATACCATACCAGGTGACTGAATTTTTATGTGTGTGCAGTCAAGGGATCCAATCACTCTAGGCACATGTGCTTTCTCATAAAAGCTACTTTTGGCTTTCCTTATTTCCTCATCATTACTTGGCATTTTTATAAATCTACCTGAGAAGGTAGCTATTGCCTCAGACACCTTCTTCACTATTTTTGAGGCAGAGCTCTTACTAACTTTGATGAAATCACCAACAGTTAGTAGGAAGTTTCCCGTAGCATAGAAGCGTAGAGTCAGTAATAACTGATTGATGGGTGAAATAGAATGATTTCTGAAATAAATATACAATTAATAGTTACCACAGGGAGTCATTTGTCATAGAATTGTTCATGATAAGTTAAATAAAATTCAATGAAATCCACATATCTATTTCCATATTGTTTAAATATTACAGAAAAAATATTCGCAGAAAATAAAAAGTACCTATAGGTATTAACATCAGCAGCGTTCTAAAAACGTGAAATAACCTACCTGTCGGTAACAGATTCGAGTTCTTCCTCGATGAGAGATAAAATATATAAAACCGTAATTTTTTTCAAGCGGAACCTCACAAAAAAATCTATGTCGTCCAATGAATGGAAGAAGTCTTCTCTTTCTCGTACAATATAGGGCCTCCTTTCATATTCTAAAAACTCTACTATTTCCGCATCATCATCATCATCGAACATAGCATCAATATCACCCAACATATTTCAAAGTTTTCACTTGATTTTCAAACAATAATTCTTTACAAAAACCTTGTTTTTGCTTACGTTTTGACACAGACTTTTTGAGGTTAAAATGACAAGAATGACATATCAAAACAAGAAGAAGTCTGCAATCTGCGCATGCTTCAGATCCTAACTGCTAGTTATCGCTCGTAACTGGAACATCCAAGTTGCGGTCAGGTTTCACACGGGTTTAACTGTTGGTTAATATTTAACTGCCGGTGGATAAACATTTTGACCGTCAGATTATTTTTAACTACTAGTTGATTTATTTAACCATGCATTGATAAACCGGCCCTAACACGTAAAAAGAAGGTGGTAGACAAGGACCAGTCGACCGAGGCAGTACCACCCGCTAGCTTTTCCCAGGGTGTCTTATAAATGTCCGCATGTTTCCACACCTAAGCTATGCAGTCGGTTATCTACCAAAACAAAGAAATTAATGATGATGGATCCCTCGAGCACTAAAAACTCCGGACGTAAACTCACTCCACTCTCGGAATGTCCGGGTGGAGGGTGGGCTCGAGGGAACAACATCGAAGATAAAATTTGTTTTTCGAACATCTGCGGGATCAACAGCAACATTGATGCTGTTCATCACTACCTGCAATCCAATCGTCCCGCCGTGCTTTTCTTGGCGGAGACAAAAATCTCATTGACTGCACCGATTAACCATCTCAACTTCCCAAACTACGAGGTGCACTCCAATCTGAGAAAGAACGGGGGAGTTGCGGCTTTTGTCCGCAGCAGTATTTTCTGCTCCAGGGATCTTTCTTTGAAATCAGACCGGAATGACATTCTGTGGCTTCGCCTCAACTCCAAAACATCACCCAAATTTATTTGCTGCCTTTATCGCCCTCCCTCGAACCATAACTGGGATGACCTACTCGAATACCTCGCCGTCCAGATCGACTTCCTGAACATCAATCACCCCGCTTCAGAGGTAGTTCTTCTCGGTGATTCCAATGCCCATAATGAGCTTTGGTTGGGCTCAAATAAGACCAATGCAGCAGGTCGTGCAGTCGAAGCGTTCGCTCTTACTCAAGGGCTGACCCAGCTGGTGACGAGCCCTACTTTTTTCCCCCGCGTCTCGTCACACGCCAGTAGCCTGCTGGATCTCTTTCTGACCACGCATCCTGCCCCTTACAGTACTGCTGTCCTGTCCCCCCTGGGTAACTCTGATCACGGTGTTGTGGAGGTTAGGTTTCGGTCAGAAGCCGCTGTGGCAGCAGAAACTCGCACAGGCCGCAAAACTTGGCATTACGGACATGCCGACTGGGAGGGGCTCAGAGACTTCTTCTCTAGCTTTCCTTGGAGAGATGTCTGTTTCACTGACGCGGATGCGTCGACTGTCTGTTCTTCAATAACCGAAATTATCCACGTCGGAATGGAGGAATACATCCCTCACACAGTGAAAGTTCCTAAACCAGGGTCCAACGGCTGGTTCAACAAATCGTGTGACACTGCTCGCCAGCAGAAGATCAAGGCCCACAGAACCTACTTACAAAACCCCACTGTAGAGAACAGACAAGCCGACGTCGAGTCCAGAAACAAATATAACGAAGCGGTTCGCAATGCCAAAAACCAGCATGATATAAAAGTTAGGCACAGGGTAATGTCGCAGCGCAATGGCAGTCGGTCTTTCTGGACGCTGGCCAAGCAGATTGAAAAGAACTTCTCACACAGTAGCCTTCCACCACTTACGTGTCAGGATGGAACTATTGTATTCGACTCAAAGGCCAAGGCGGAAGTGCTAGCCAAGATCTTTGCTGCCAACTCCACCGTGGACGTCCCCACCAACGCCCAAGTGCCGTCAATTCAAAGGGTTCCCCACACTATGCGGGAGGTAACATTTAGGCATAAGACCGTAAGACGAGTGCTCTTGTCGCTCGACATCAACAAAGCTTCTGGTCCGGACTTCCTGCCATTGTACTGAAGAGGTGTGCAGCGGAGCTTGCTCCAGTTCTTTCGCGTCTCTTCCAGATATCTTATGAATCCGGCACCTTCCCAGAAAACTGGAAATTTGCTCATGTACAGCCCATCCCAAAAAAAGGATCTAAGACCGACCCTTACAACTACAGCCCTATAGCTCTGCTTTCTGTTATAAGTAAAGGGATGGAGAGGTGCATAAATCGCGAGCTTCTGGACTACCTCGAACGTCACAGCTTGATTAGCGACAGGCAGTACGGTTTCCGGCACCAACGATCCACAGGGGACCTCCTAGCTTACGTCACGCAACTGAGGAGTAAACTCATCCAGTCTCATGATGAGGCTCATGTCGTTGCTTTTGACATCACGAAAGCGTTCGATCAGCTGTGGCACGCTGCCCTCTTAACCAAACTTCCATCCTACGGCCTCCCAGAAAAGCTTTGCAGATGGGTGGCTGACTTTATCTCTGGCCGCAAGATATCCGTCGTAATTGACGGATTCTCCTCTTCATCCCACAACGTCAACGCGGGTGTTCCCCAGGGATCGGTCTTGGCTCCATCACTGTTTCTCTTACATATCAACGACCTCCTTTCCTGCACGATCAACCCAATCCACAGCTTCGCTGATGACAGCACCCTACATGCAGGAATTCAGAGTGACAAGCCGATCTCTGCCGCTGAGCTGGAAAAAAGAAGACTAGCGACGACTTCTTCTCTGACAAGAGACCTGGAGGCTATCACTGCTTGGGGACGCAACAATCTTGTTCAGTTCAATGCTTCCAAAACACAGTACTGTACTTTGACGAACAAAAAGCGTCCTAGCGCTCATACAGTTTCGATGGACGGTCGAGTTCTACCAAAGAGCCATTCATTCCGGCTGGTCGGAGTCCAGATCACCGAGGACCTGATCTGGCACGAACACATCTCTTCAATAGCTGCAGCTGCTGGGAAAAATCTAGGCTATTTGTTTAGGGCTAAGAAGTACTTTTCTCCGCATGACCATCTCACTCTATACAAGGCCCAGATAAGGCCTAGCCTCGAGTATTGCTCACACATTTGGGGTGCTGCCGCCCCGACTACATTGTCCATGCTCGATGCTGTCCAGTGGAGGGCGGTTCGACTGATCGATTACTCTTCTCTAACAGACAGTCTCGGGACTCTTTCGCACCGGCGGGTCGTCGGCGATCTAGCTCTTTTCTATCGCTACACCAACGGGCTTTGCTCCTCAGAGCTCTCTTCCATGATGCCGCCGCGCGATGTGCCTGCCAGACAGACCCGCCTGACTTCCGCGTCCCATCCTAACCGTGTCAAGCTTCGTACATCCAGAACTGGCCGATACGACCGCTCCTTTGTCCCGAGGGTGTCTAGATTGTGGAACAATCTACGGGAGGAAGCTTTTCCCAGTTCTACTAACCTTAGGCAGTTCAAAAATCGTATTAACAAAATTTCTTTGGGATCATCATAGCAGCCGCGGTGTTCCGGCATTTAGGCTTCTGCCTGCGCGGCTGTTTCGATATAAAAAAAAAATATACATATTTGTTGTGTTTTACTAGTATATCTCAAATGAATCAGTTTAGGCCTTGAATATCTCATTTGTAACTGCCACAGTCGAAATGATAACTGCTTCTTGAACAGACAACCCAATGGAAACTCCAACAGTTGTTTGTTTAGATAGTAGGCATGCTGATCACAGATGTTTACCATTTTTCATAAAATTTCCTCCCAGACTATCGTAGAACAGAAACCTAATAGATGGAAATTTTTCTACCTACATTTTATTTCTTGTATGCTAATTTTCATGTGTACAATCGACGATCCTCTTAATTTTAAAAGCACGTGTGTATTTTTTTCATAAATTTTTCCCGAGGAAAAATTCCCGCGCCATTATTGAAACGAGATTTCGCTCAGGCTGGGAAAAATTGCCTGAACATATTTTCATTAAACAATTTCGCTCAAAAATAAAGCGTATCAAGGATGCACTATAAAATAAATCTCCAATATAGGCCAGTTCATCCATATTATCTATTGAGTACATTCAATTGAATTGAATTCAATTTATTTTCCATCAACTAGTCAAGCAATGACTGAAAAACTATTATACGAAAAGTACGTGGTACTAAATCTAATTGAAGCAAAGCGTTAGATTACAGCATTTTTAACTTAAATAATGGCTCGACTAGATTCTTGAAAAATTGAGAAAACAAAGGAGTAAATTGCTACATGCCTTAAATGTTTTAAATTAACTAATAATTTTCATTGAATTGACCCAGCACATATTTGACTTGATCGTGATGAATGTCACAACTATTTGCTATAACGTTAAAGCTGGAGCAATAAAATAAAAGGGTGACTTAAGGCCGTATCGTCAGTCGTTCATACAGTTGTAGGACGCCGTTATGGCCTCCTTATTGTCACAGTCGTTTCTCTCCTTCAGAAAGTCTGGGCTATTTCTACATCAAGTTTCATCAGCCTGAAATTTCTTAAAATTCAAAAATAAAACATTACCTTAAAATAGAGTGCTGACGCGGAACAGTAATCTAGAAATTCCCCTGCCTTTCTGGAGGACAGGAAAAACAATGAAAATCAAGGAGACCATAAAGGCGTCCTGCCATTGTAGGAGCGGCTGACACGATACGGCTCTTAATCATAGCATTAAAGTATTTTCAAGTAAAAAGTCGGAAATTCGGGACGGTACATGAGAGTCAATTTTAGCTAATAAAACTGGAGAATCTACTTCACTACAAATAATAGGCACAATGATAACGAAGAGTTTTCGTTGCAGATTCAGATGATTCATGCATTCTGATTTAGCATCAAACAACTCACCAAAATCTCTTACCTCGGAGCAAAGCATTAAGCTAAAACTAATCATAAAAACAATATGGATGGGAACGCTACAAATAAGGAAATTCATAAACTATTGTTATTTATTTTGTCCAAAGATAACAATAATAATAATAATAATAATAATAATAATAATAATAATAATAATAAAAGTTTATTCCCATATTGTACAAACATAACTGAAACTAACATACATATATACGTAGATACGCAAATAAACTGCAAATACCCACAGCAGAATTAATTCTTGTGCGTCGGAATTAATTTTTTAAACTTAGAGAAATATTTACATAACTATACATGTACATGATTCACAGATACATAGACATACATATACTAAGTGACATATAAATCCGAACACCCAGTTTAAACGGTTTTATTTTAATAAAATTTTGTATAACTACTTAATGAAGCATAATATGTAAACGATAAAAATTTCAAAATGATTGCACTGCTTTAAAGCCCTTTGACCTTTAATAATGTGTGGATGCACCCTGATGTGCTACGCATTCTCCAACGCGCCTAGGCATGCTTCTGATCAGGTGGTCAATGTCCTTCTTATGTATCTCATTCCAGGCAACCACCAACTCCTCTCGAAGTGCTTCTAGAGTCTGAGGAGGACGTTGCAAATTGAGCAATCTCCTACCCATCATATCCCACACGTGCTCAATTGGAGATAAGTCGGGAGATCTTCGTGGCCATGGTAACAATGTGACATCATTATGTTGAAAGAAGTCTATTGTGACTCTTGCAACATGTGGTCGGGCATTATCTTGTTGGAAAGTTGGATCTGCCAGGGTGTCAAGATAGGGTAAAAGATGGGGTTCTAGAACTTCGTGGATATAACGCTGCGCGTTCATGTTACCTCTGATGAAGATTAAAGGTGACCTGGAACCATAAGCTATAGCACCCCAAACCATAACTCCAACAGTGTGATGAACATGTCTTTCAACAAAAAACTGTAGATTCCTCCTTTCACCACGTCGCCTCCTAACCCTGGCACGACCATCGTGCATGCCTAACCAAAATCGAGACTCGTCACTAAAGACAATACTGTTCCATTCCTGATCCCAGAGTGACCGTTGTCTGCACCACTCAAGGCGATTACGTCGGTGTTCTCGAGTTAAAGGGAGGACCCAGTGTGGCCGGTATGAAAACAAGCCAAAACTTCTCATTCGTCGGTAAACACTTCGCATGCCAATAGGTCTTCCATGTTCTGCACACCATTCATTTGCAATGTACCTGGTACTGGAGAAACGGTCCCTTAAGGCCAATAATCTTAGGCGGCGATCTTCACGGTCTGTTGTTCTACGGCGCCGTCCAGTGCCCCTTGCTCTTTGCGTACGGCCTTCTCGAAGCCATGCCTGACAACACCTAACCACAGTGTCTACACTTCTTTGCACTCTAACTGCAATTGCCCGAAAAGAAAGTCCAGCTTCCCGAAGTCCCTCTATACGGCCCCTATCAAACTCACTAAGTTGACGAAATCGTACAGGTCTCCGTACTCTAGGCATCGTAACCGATCGTAAAGGATGTCAAGAACCAAAATCCGCCAACGTTGATTCTTTACTGCTGCTGAAATATTCATTTTTAGAGCGTCAGTGAATTAAAAAAAGCAGTATAAAAGCCGGAATGTCCAACTGATAAGGCTGAAAATTTTTTCACTTGTTATTTACAGTAAGATAAATAGATTCACCAACTTTTATTAAAATAAAACCATTCAAACTGGGTGTTCGGATTTATATGTCACTTAGTATATATATATATGAAATTTTAAATTACTACATTAAGTTTCATTTTCTTTCGTATGTATCAACCTTTCAACCATTTTCATGTCGATTTTATGATTTTTTTTCAATTTTAAATTTAGTTTAATTAGAAATATCCCTTAAATCATTCGGTAATATGTATGACAGCTTTGACATCTTTGACCTATACTTTCTGAGGTGAAAGGTGATTGTTTGATGTTGATTCTGGTTCTGGTTTGATATAAGTGACCTAACGGAATCAGATAATCTCTATGCTGAAACTGATAAATTATAATTTTGTAGAAAAATAGTTGCCTAGGGTCTAACTGTTTGGTTTAAGAATACAATACGCAGATCAGCTGGGTATAGAAGTGGGTTGTCAAATATTATTTTTACGAATTGTTTTTTGATAATTTCCAATTTATTCATTTGGTTAATAAGTGCTGCATGGTATAAAATTTTCATTGTTTTTTTTTATCCAAATTTGTTTAGATACTTGAATTTTGTCAGTTATGGTCTCAGATTGGTTACTAGATAATCAATAAGTATATTCCACCTCAAATGTTAGTCTATATACACCTAGATATTTTAATTTCTTTGCTAAATTTATTTGAGTATTCGTATTGTCACAATTCATCTGTGTAGAAACAAATGATGGCAATTTGTTTCTAAAATTTGAACATAGGTTTTTGAAAGTTTATAGTTAGACATTTATGTCTGGTCCAGTCTGCAATTATTGTTAAGTCGCTTTCAAGATATCTTCTAGCGGTGTATTTGTAAAGAAAGTTGTCTAATTCAGCTGCATGTCGCTTAAATAGCAGAGGTAAGTTAACTTTATTGGTATCATGATACGCATCAATCGATACGCTATTTTACCAATTTCTACTTGCCAAATATAGGCACAAATCAGAGGAATAACAGCAAGAAATATTTGTTACAGTAGTCTAGAAATTTCTAATACAATTGCTCTGAAAAGTGTGTGTTATTACCAGAGGTGCAAGATAAGCATTATAATTTTGGAACTGTAAAAGCAGATCCTAATGATTACCATCTATGGACGTTTTCTTTCGAAGTTTTTTCAATTTTATTGATTTAATTTTTTGATTTGGCTCACAGGAGGAAGAATTGCGAGCCAGTGGTGATCCAAAGTTCCAGCACCTTAGCGAAGAGCTCCATGTAGAGATCAGCGCCTTCGCTACACCTGCAGAGGCGCATGCCAGAATTGCTTACGCTTTGGCAGAAGTCAGGAGATTTTTGGTACCGGTAAGTCTCTCCCGCTTTTCATTCGAATAAACTACTGTCGGAACCAACGAATAGTAGGAGCCAAGCTTATAGGTTTACATGCACTGTTTGCCGCCAAAATTGTGTGGTTTCAGTGCATCGTTTTGCCTACCAAAACCATAAACCGATACATCTTCGTAAAGGATACTCAAGTAGCTACTCTTCCGGGATCTACTCACGTAGGGAAAGCGAGTTAAGTTAAATGATTCAAAGAAACGGAAGCAAATATTTATTAACGGTGCAGCATATGAAAAATTCTGCTTAATTCATGATGATTTTGGAAGGTGAATCGTACGAAACATCATCAACAGTGGCGGGATGCCTGATATTGGAAACGTATTCTACTAGGTCCTTCTGAACAGTTTTCGAGATTCGAGCAGATTCTTGGCTGCAAGCAAATTCATCCTTGAGCATAATGTGAAAATACCAGATAAAGGTATACTATACTATATTTAACCAAAACATTTTGTGGTAATTAAATGGATTCGTAAGATCACTACTTCTAACGCGTACCTGTCCTAAGAGCTTTTAAATTCAAAATTAATGTAGTTAAAGTTACAGCTTTCCTTAGAATAAAGTTTCGGTTGGCCCTTTTCAGTGTCCATCAAAAAATTTGGGTTGTCTCCAACGTTTTGCATTTTTCCATGTTGTTGTTAGGCATATTGTTAACAAGCCTTAGATTGGGGCTGACCGCTCATTGAAACAAACAGTGGAACGAGTTTATCAAGATTACGTCACAGCCGTCTAAGTAAGAGGCCAATCTTGAGGTATAAGCCCTTTCACAACGTCAATGGCTACTGAGTTCAAACTGATTTTTGCAATACTCAGAAACCTTCACCATTTTCGCCATATCTGTGGAACACTAGGATTATACGGAATCCTTTATATGGTTTTGCAGAAAAGTACGAATTTAATATGAAATGTCAAAAACTGTCAAACTGGCGGCTTAAGCCTGACCGATTTGAACTATGAATTTCATCCTGACGACTAAACAAATTAATTTTGGTTTGAAACTAGTCCAAATTTGTTGGTCAGAACATTTTACGATGAGTTCGAACATCGCATTGGATTTATTATGCAGGTCATACATTTTTACCGAGAAGAACGAACTATGTGAAACCTGTGACCTGTAAACGACTACATAGCGTCAGTTACGCGACAGGACTGCACGAGCTCTCAAGGACGCAAAAATCGAAAAAACTGTTTACTTGTGGAAAAATCGAATACGGTGTCTATAAAAACATAAAGTTGATAATTGGGGACGAAATACCAGCCGTCATATCGAAATTCTAATTATGCCACCTTGTAGGGCACTTTTATTGTGTAATTAATTTCAACCTACCAAGTAAGGCGAGGAAAAAATTAAATCGATTTTGGGAAGGCTAGTTTTTATCTCGGAAATTGCGAAGGTGCCATTTTCTTAGTAACCTTAATTCGCAACTCTCTCCCTATTTAACCTAAATCTCTAAATGGCACCAATCTTTTTTTGATACCCTGTATCTCAAATTTTATGTTTTCATTCATATGCGTCCATTGAAATCACTAAACGAGTTTTCAAGAAATTTGACCAGTGGTGAAATTCCATATTTTGTGCCTGACACTACGAAGGATTGCCTGAAAACAATAAAAATAATTAAACTTCATAAAGAACACACGCATACGATTCTGCAGACCCACAAGAAAATATTCAGGTGCTGAATAATAACCAAAAATACGGAGCTCTCGAAATGTACTCTGCTTCTGATATATAATCCCTTTCAACGATGTATCGACCAGTCTCGAATATATTCTTGAAACTTGGTATATTCCTCCTGGTTTAATAATATCTAAGCTTCAAGAAATCTACATATCATTAAAATATATAATTTAGATGCACAATATTACCTATGAATTCCAATTTAAGATCGAATACCAAAAAGACTTCGTGCTTTCCGTATAGGAGAAAAGAGAAACAATATACCTCTCACATGCAGGTCACAGACAATATTGATCAAAGCAATCAACCTCCAGATTATTACGCCTGCGAAACGCGCTGTTCGATAAAAGTGTATCCGGGGACTCTATCTATATGAAGTCGTAAAGCAGCGCTTGCAATTAGAAAACTTATTTGCTATTTTTGATCAACTTGGAATTGCTACACTTCCGCTTATTTTGTTGACCTTTTTGGGCAGCCCGAGGTCCGAGTCGCCATAGGCGTGGTAGCGGGATCTACGGAAATATCTAGGAAGGAAATTTGAAACCAATTTGACGCTTCCCACAATGAAATGTCTCGAGATGATGACTGGAGGATTTTTGCGAAGGAGCAGAACCTGATTTTCAGCCTGAAAAAAAGGAACACCAAGTTTGTTCGTATACAGGGTTATCCAAATTAAGTGTCCACCATTAGTAACTTTGTTATTAGTGAAAATACAAAGTTGTTTGAATTAGCAAACTAGTAGCATTTTTAACGCTGGTAAAAATGAGAAATAAAAAAAAAACAATTGAGAGTCGTTATTTTGATTTTTTTCAGTAAAATAACATTTTTTTAAATGGAAACCCCTGTATATTATATTTTTTTCTGTTAAAGCATCAAATTTTAAACAAAAAAGTTCATAATGACTTTTCCGCTAAAGTCAAAAATAAAGTCAATATAACGATAAATATTTTTAATTATTTGCAGTATTATATTAAGACGGCTATGAAAACAACATGGCGTTCGCGATTTGACAGCATTAAGATAAGCGACAAATTGTTAAACTGGACATACTCGCAACTAGAAGGCTTTGGAAAACAATGATAAAATCAAATAATGTCAAACATTAGTGTAAATACTTGTTTATAAGCTTTATTGTGTCATTAATTTAAAGAAAAATGTTCTCCCATGAAGAAAAGTGTGATATGTTAGAATGCTATTTAGTGTGCAGAAAATCCTCCTTGAGAGCAAGAGAATACTACAGTGAATTATATCCCGCTCGCATTCAACCGTATGAACGATATTTTCTGAGACTTTATCGAAAATTTAGGGGCAATGAAAATGTTTTTGCTAAAACAAGGGCAAAAGAAGAATTCATAATAAGCGAGGCCACGGAAATTGCAGTTATTGGATATTTTGAAGCTTATCGTGAGAATTCAATAGCAGATATTCTCGAGGACTCTAATTTCAGTTATGTTCAAAGGATTTTAAAAAAATACAAATTTATTCCGTATAAGTACCGACCAGTTCAAACGCTTTTGGCAGGGGATCCAGAGAGAAGACTTGTTTTTTGCCATTGGTATCTTAGCTTCTGTCGCCAAAATGTAAATAACTTTCGTTACCTTTTATGGACAGATGAATCAAATTTTTCAAATTCTGGAATGTTTAATAGAAAAAACCACCATTATTGGTCAAGAGAAAATCTTTTGTTAGTACATCCAAGAGGCCCACAAGTCCGTTTCAGTTTCAACGTTTGGTGCGGTATAATTGGTTCAAAAATTGTTGGCCCGTTCTTTTATGAGGGAACCCTAACTGGTGAAAGATATGTGGAATTTAAGTCAGAAATTCTGACTAATTTCTTAGACGAATTGGATCTTATAAGTAGACATCATCTGCATTTTCAGCAAGATGGCGCACCTGCCCACAACTCCAGATGTACTTATCATTTTCTAAGTACTACTTTTAATGATCAGTGAATAGGAACAAATGGCCCAATACAGTGGCCTCCCAGATCACCAGATCTAAACCCACTTGATTACTTCTTGTGGGGTTACTTAAAGAACCAAATTTACAAGCGAAGGTACGATAACCTTGACGCGTTAAAGACTGCAGTTAGGGAAAAGATAACCCAGATAGATGGTAGGACCATACTTAAGACAGTTCGAGCAGTTGAAAAACGTGCCCAAAAATGTATTGAAGAACAAGGTGGTGTTTTCGAGCATCTTCTTTAAAAAAAATTGTTATTGTATTTTGTAAGATTATAAGTTGATGTTGAAAATAAAGTTTGTCGATACAATTTAATTGTTTCAGATTGGAGGCCATAACTTCAACAATTTGTAACCTAGGAGAAAAGTTATTGTGAGCTTTTTTGTTTAAAATTTGATGCTTTAACAGAAAAAAATATAATATACAGGGGTTTCCATTTAAAAAAATGTTATTTTACTGAAAAAAATCAAAATAACGACTCTCAATTGTTTTTTTTTATTTCTCATTTTTACCAGCGTTAAAAATGCTACTAGTTTGCTAATTCAAACAACTTTGTATTTTCACTAATAACAAAGTTACTAATGGTGGACACTTAATTTGGATAACCCTGTATATAAGAAAGCTGAACGATTTAACCATAAACGGCACTCATAGAAGCCTCGTTCCAGGTTCAAGGTCAGTTTTATGTCAGTTTGTCCGTATGTGGTCATTTGAAGGTCATTTAGGAGTCATGTCAAGGTCAAATTAAGAAAACGTTGGAAAATCAAATCTACTAGACCTGCGCGTAAGTTTTTGGTGTGGCTAAGTCCGAATCTGACGTTAATTTGTTTGTATCGGATCATTTGAAGGGTGCTTAGGGCCATCTTGAGGTCACAAGATCAGATTGAGAAAATGTATCGTAATCAAGTCTACCAGATATTTTCGAAATGTCCTTGAGGTGACCTAGAAACGCCTTTCAAATAGCCTGATACGGACAAACCGACAATAGACTCAGCGACCTCAAAAACCTATCAGCAAGACAGCTGTATGCCAGACACCTGATTACTTTGTCACTTCGAAATTTTACCTGAAACTGGCCTTGAATTGACAATTACCCCGACCAGGAAAAGGTTCTATAAGTGCCGCTCGTATTGAAATCGCTTAGCTATTTTCACGAAATGAACTTTTCTTCTTTTTTGATCAAAATTGTTGATAGCCGAAAATCGGCCTTATCGGTCCTCCACCTCTCCCGGAGAATCTCA